CCCCCTGACCCCTGCCCCACCCCCACCCTCCCTGCGCTCCCCGAGAACATGACCTTACTCTACCATCCCATACCACAACCACTATACCTACGGCGGACTAAGGAAACTCACTAACACAAAAATGACAACGAACCAAACTGGAAAAGGACAAGTTGCAACTACAACACGCTACTAATATGACCAAACTAATGTAAAATAAAATGGGAACAACTTAACTAACACAAAGAAGGGAACCGGAAAGCGGGACGTACCAAATCCCGCGAGTAGAACCTGGAAATTCGTCTCGGTGCACACCCGAGGTCACCGACACTGACATGCTTCTTTAAACTCCCACTGGCCTTTACAAACACCATCCAGGGCTGCTCTGGCTGCTCACTCATACGCCTCACGCTCATCGCCAAATGCCATGACTAACAACCTAAAAAATCATAACACACTACTATGAAACCACAGGGGGGTCTATCAACCCGTCATCGCTACACTGGTATTTAATTTTATGGCAGCTCGAACTGCCCAACTAAACAACGAGCAGATCGTCGGCGATTGCAGAAGGGAGGGTCGAGGAAATGAAGAATCAAAAACACAAATAAGGGGGCAAAGGGGGTGGGAGAGTGGGGCGACTTAGACGGAGAGAAAAAAAGAGAGGGACACTAGGTGTCACTGGTAGGGCTGCCTCTTAGGGTTTCCAGAAGCAATGGACACAAGGAGGGGAATGGGAGGAGAGCAGAAGATAGAAGAGAGAAGAAAGGGGAGAGAAGAAAGAGGAAAGAGGAGAGGGGTCGCCGACTAGGAGACGCCAGCGAGGACTGGGGGTGTTAGTGCGAAGAAAGAGAGAGGAGAGAGGAGGGAAGAGGGGGCGGCTTACCTGCGTTTGGTCACCGGCGTTCTCGCATGTGGGTGTTGCTGATCGACGGATAAGAAGTAAGGGGGTCGAGGAGGGAGAGAGAAAAAGGCCCACAGAGTAGTTCCAAAATGCCCATGCCGAACATTCATAATTATAAAATTACCCCTGTCCGTACACCCCAACTCCCATTTTTAAATAATAGTAAAATAACTGGAATGCTAATACATCGCCAACTCTATTTTCTCAATATATTGAGTCCATCAGATTCAATATCAAAAATCATATCTGGAAGCATTTTTGGTTCAACATTATAATTGCAACTTATAGTTTTTTTGGTACACTAGTACCTACAATATCATTGCCTTTTCTTCCGAAACATGTAGGTGAATATTATGTAAGGACTGCAGAGTTTAATATAAGAGGAAAAAGTGTCAAGGAGCTAAGTTGCTTGGATATCTAAAGGTCGGATCCTTTATGTTATAATTTTTAAGATTTGTGGGTACGAATATAGGTGCGGCGATTCATCTAAAAATAATTCAAATATCTAAAAATAGAGTTATAAGAATATGTTTAAATTATGAGACGTTATGTGAAAATATCCGAGAAGGAGACCTATTTGTCCCCCGTTTGTCCATAGATTTTGCCAAAACTATTTGTGGCAAATACCTATTTGTTTATACATTTTATCCATATTTTAAAAAAAATTTAAATCCCAAAACCAACTCAAGAGCTGTTTTTGGCCCAAAATATACCCTTTGATTTTTAAAAAAAAATTCAAAAATGGCCCTAAAGTTTTATATTTTATAAAAAGCTCAATTTCTGTTATTATGACCCAACTAATCCATATTTACCAACTTTTTCCTCATTAAACTTACACAGTTTTGTCCTTCTCTATAAACATAAAAAAACCTTCGCCAAAGTTGTTGAGCCAATCTGTGACAATCCACCGCAAAGATAAAATTTGAAGGTAATTTGCTAAAATATGCTAATTTTGTATAAATTTTCTTTAAATTTGTTTCTCTTGTTTTTTATGAATTTTCTGCATATTTATTTCGCTTGTTTTGTATGAATTTTCTTCAGAGTTGTTGGGTATTTTTGATAATTTCTAAAACTTATGGGTATAAGTCACATTTCATTTTTTTTCAAAAAACAAAGTGAAATATGTTTTAAAAAATTATGTCCAAACAGATTTTCATCTTCAAATCAAATTTCACACAAATCAAATTTTTAAAAACAAATTTGGGAATCTACGGCTAAACGCTAGCAAAAAAAAAGGACTGGCATAGAAATTTCTATATACAAGGTATTTCATTTTCTTCAATTTCACCCTATCTTTGTTTTGATTTTAGAAATCATAGTATCCGTCTCGAATTTTGGTCAAAGTACCTAATATCAGTTGACCAGATCCGGTACAGATTCCACATCGACACCCACACCCACGTCGTGTCGACACGGATACGGTACCGAAATTGAAGAATATTGATCTCAGCCTCAGCGATGATCCTAAAGAGAATACCAAGAAATGGGAAATACCTGTTTATACAAGAGACAATGAAGAATGTTAGTTCTCAGATTGTTGACTGGATTCTTTGAGCATCCTCATTTCATACTTTACACTTTTTCACTCAATTTTTGTTCTTCACTTGTAAATAATTTTTTTTTTTTTTTTGTGAATATCAGAGTTGTTAGGTACTACTTGAGGGAATAGCCTGTTTCTACATGTTGTAAATTTATCATATTAATTTATGTGGAACACTGGAATCTGGTTTGTAGATATGCAAAGTTTCGATTGAGAAATGTTAAAATTTATGGATTAAGTTGATATAAAGAATCTCTTACTACTTTTCAGAACTCCTAAGTTTACAATATCATAGAAATTGCACTAATTAATTGTTATTTCAAGAGGAAAAACTCAAACAGAAAAGTAGGCACACAAAAAAGTAACTCTATTATTCTATGGAATCATATGAAAGTCACTAAAATACTCAAATGTTGAATACTTTATTGAAGTTTCATCTTTGGGAAGTTGGGAAAGAAGGAAGGTTGGAGAAGAAAAGAAGAGATTATTTTTCTACCCTCGGATAAAGTGGGAAAAAAATCCTTTCTGTTTATCATTGTTTGCCTCCCCCTCGAGCCCGGTGTGTACTGTTAGTAGGACTAAAGGGCAGCGTAGCACATGAAGCATCCTATATTTATACAGGGTTCGAGGAATAGTCGTACCCTAAGAGGTATGATATAGGCCGTTTACCTTGATGAAAGAATCAATGACTTATTCCACGGCTTGAGATATGTCTGCAAATAAGGCTAGTCATCTGATTAATGGTAATCTTAAAATTCCTATTCAATATACGTACAGATTGAAGACATAATTAAATATTGGTTTAAACTTTAAGATGAAATGGTCACACTAGAAAAGCGATAACACCTTCAAAACATATAACTTGATCTCCTAGGATTGGAATGACCATGGCAATTCACACTACAAGAAAGTAATAATACAACGACATTTATTTAGTGACATTTGAAATAAATATCGAAAAAAAATGAATTTCTCATCATTTATAACAAAATAACAACATTTGTGACAAAATATGATAGAAACAACGACGATTGATTCAAAGTGTTCGTAAAAATAATGACATTTGACAAAATATCGTAAAACTAATGACACTAATTTTGTATCAAATGTTGTTATAACAATAATATTTGATACAAAATATTATAAAAATACCGATATTTGATATAAAATATCAAAAAAAATATGAATTTTATTTTGAATGTCATATTATTAGTCGGTAATTAATTATCAACATTTACATGGAATGAGCAGAACTTTTAGAGTATATTTCTTCAACTGAAGAACAAATTCATGGAATCAAAAAAGTGCTAATTTCTTAGTGAAAATGAGGGCTAAGGAAAAATAATTAGCATTGTCACGATCCGAAATCTCAACCTCGGAGTCGTGATGGCACCTAACATCCACTTGCTAGGCAAGCCGACGTGAGATAGTTAAATAGCCAAATTTTAACAGTTTAAACAAGGTGATGATAAATAACGAGAGATAGGAACTCAATCTAATACAACACAAGCATAAGTCATGTAATAATATCTACTCCCAAAGATCTGTAGTCACGAGTACACGAGTAACAAGAAGATCTACAAACAGAGTCTGAAATAAATACAACTGTTTCGAATGAAAGGAACAGTAAAAGAGGAAAGAGGAAGGGGACTCCAAGGTCTGTGGACACCAGCAGATCTATTTCAAGTCTCCGTATACAATGATCCGAGCAGACGCACCTCATGCACCGCTAGGACCAATACCAAAATCTGCACAAGAAGTGCAAAAGTGTAGCATGAGTACAACCGACCCAATGTACTCCGTAACTGTCAAGCTTAACCTCGACGAGGTAGTGACGAGCCAAATACCTAATCAGTCGTGATAGTGCCTATCGTGGAACTAGGTAAGCCGACATTCTCAATATGCTTTCAATATATAACAGAAGTGAGCTAAAGCAATTAAACTAACTGAAGGTTTACATAATAATGGGGTAAAAACTCAAAACACAAGTGCAGAATGATAGCCCGACATCGGGGTGTCACTAAGTCATGAGCATCTAACAACCAATCTAGAAAACAGAGTCTACTACAGTCTATGTCAAATGCCAATACAAGAGAGAAAAGATAATAAGAAAGGAGAAACAAGGACTGCGGACGCTGGCAACTACCTTGTAAGTCTCCGATAATCAGCTCGCACACGAACTCAGCGACCACCAGAACTATACACACCTAGATCTGCACATGAAGTGCAGGGTGTAGCATAAGTACAATCAACTCAGCAAGTAATAGAATTAAATAAGGAACTGATAAGCAGTGACGAACTATAAAAATACAGATCATTTCAAAAGTTTTTAGTAAAGAGTGAACATGCTTTCAAATCCGGTGGTATAAGTCAAATCAGTTCCAGCTCAAGTAAAACAGATATGAATCTTCCAGAAATTTCACAACAACAATAGATAACAACTAAGTGCAATAATAAATAAAAGCAAGTACATCCTCTCAAGGCATNATATATATATATATATATATATATATATATAGCCCAAAAAGCTTATTGCAGCGTGCAACCCGATCCAATATTGTTGCTGCATGCAACCCGATCTTATATATATAGAGAGCCCTGAAGGCTTGTTGCGGCGTGCAACCCGATCCAAATACCTCACAGCTCGGCACTCAGGCCCTATCTCGGTCACTAATCTCTCTAGCCCCTCAGGCTCACAGAATATCATAATAATTAGCCCAAACAGAGAATACAACAAGTATTAATAAGAAATGAGAGGAAACTGAGATATACCACACAAGTAAGACTGTGACTGAGTATAAGACAATAATTAGCAGTCAATTCAACAAGTATACGACCGTTGTAGGCCTCAACAGTGATATCGTATGGCCTAAGCATGGTTTCTAACATGAAAGCAGTCAATTGCTCAAAGACAAGGAAAAATAAGTAATAACAATGGCTATTCGACTTTACAATATCACGGGATGGACCAAGTCATAATCCCTCATGGTGCACTCTCATACGTCCGTCTCCTAGCATGTGTGTCACCTCCAAATATTTACATCATACCAATTCTCGGGGTTTCATGCCCTCAAAACCAGATTTAAGACTGTGACTTGCCTCAACCGCGCAGAAATCCTACTCCGAAATGCCTTTGCCTCTCGAATCGGCCTCTAAATGCCTCGAATCGGCCTCTAAATGCCTCGAATCTATCCACAAACAGTACAAGATAATCAATATTGGCTAAAAGGATCAATTTCACAAGAAAACTACTAAAATATAGCCCAAAATTCGAAATCGACTTAACCCTTCCCCCCCGGGCCCACGTCTCGAAACCCGACGAAAGTCATAAAACCCGAAAGCCCATTCACTCACAAGTCTAACCATACCAATTTTATCAAAATCTGACCTCAATTGCCCCTCCAAAACCCCAAATTTTACTCTCGAATTCCCAAGCCCTAACTTCCCAAATCTCACCTTAAACACTCACCAACCAGGTGTAAAAATCAGTGGGGAAACATCATTATTGAAGATAAATAGGCACAAGGAACTTACCTCGGTGATTACTCCGAAATCTCTCTCAAAATTCCCAAAATCTGAGCTCACAAATGATGAAAATGGTAAAAAATCTTGAAGCCTTCTATTTATATGTTCTGCCCAGACTTCTCACACTTGCGTCTCCATTTCCGCATCTGCGGAAAAAAATCACTAAATACTGCCTCCTCCTGCGATCAAGTGACCGCATCTACGCACTTCGCGGGTCCAAAGTTGCACC